GTTGAGGCATGCAAAAACAATCGCTGACGCGGGCCACCAAGGAAAAACTTTTTATAGCAAAAAAAGCCAGATTATTCCTAATGTTTTTTGTTTTTTCACGTATATTTCCTAAACGGTGCAACAAAATATAATATTTTCTTTCATAAATTAAATGTTTTTTCATAAAGTTAAATTGTGCGTCGAACGAGTACCTAAACTTAATTATTTGGTTAAGTGGTATGTTCGTTAACCACGGTCAACGGACGCCGATTTTTACCAAATTCGTGAAAAACAGACAAATTACTATAAATGGCGCTGCAGCTTGGGAATGAGTTCTCTAACAGAAAAAGTCATAGGATAAATGCTATAGAACATCAAATTCCGCGTCCACTGAGTACTAACAGTTTTAGTATAGATCAGTTATATTTCTCGAATCGGGATACGTTATTTCTTCAAGAATTTTTTTACATCTCTGAATCGTTATATAAAAGTTAATAAATAAAAACTTTTCTCACATTTTATGCAATCAATTTTCCGTTTAGAGCCCCAAGTTACTGCAGTGGCGGATCCAGGAATTTTCTCAGGAACCCTACCCGTTCCCCCACTACTACCCATCTTCCCCACTCCTTAGCTGAGTTTAGCCACTCAAATATCCTCTTTATTTAAATAGTTTTAACAAAAGCAAACTCTATTTTTATTTAAAGTAAATTTTGTCTAGTTTTCTATTTCTGCGAGGTCGACCTGTTGAATTTTCCACATCTGAAATCTTCCTGGGAGTAGAAAAATCTTCTATCTCATACTAGGGAGTTGTTAGTTCAAGTAAAACTGAATCCAACCCCCAACCATTTGGAAGCTCGATGTCTGATGCAGATATCTCCTTAACTGGAATAAAATGTTTTAAACAACTTAAGTCCCGAGTCAGCCTAACACTATCTTGAGACTCAACCGTCACCACATTTCCAAATTTTTCAACTACTCTGTATCGAATGGGGTGATATATAGGTGTCAATTTGTTTCTCTTGTCAAGTTTTCTAAGAACTAATTCGTTTTTCTAAAACTCTTTCTACGTTGCTCCACGTTTCTCATCTGCATATTCTTCACCTTTCAACTTATGAAGCGTATCTTTATTTTTCGCTTCTTCTTTATTTGATAACTCTCTGGAAAAACTAGGAGTTTTATCCCTGATTTTCCGCCCAAAGAACAGTTCTCCTGGTGGTACTCAAGTAACAGCATGTGGTGTGACACGAAACTGGAATAGGTAACGCTGCAGTTGCTGCTTCCAGTCCTCCTTGGTCAACCTTGCCAATTTCAACATCTTCAGCCACATCTGTCTTTCTACAGCCACATTGTCTTGTGGCCAATAAGGAGGAGTATGGTATATGTTAATATTGTTGGAATGACAAAACTGCAAAACTTCATCGGAAGTGAACTGCTTCCCATTGTCAGCAGTAGTGGATTCCGGCTGGCCAAATCTATGATAACGGCTTTATTAATCTGTGATAACCAGCAAATAATCACATGAAGAAAGAGGGCCCATGAAATCTACTGCAATATCCATCCATGGAACTTCACGCAATTTTCTTCGTGACATTGGATCTGGTGATGGAACAACTTCCACCACTTGACATAAATCACATGATCATACCATCTTTTCGGCAGCAGCATCAATACCTGGCCACCAAACCTTTGCACGCAACTTTTGCTTCATGGCTACTGTTCCAGGATGTCCTGCATGGACTAAAGTTAAAGTTTTCGACCTCAGAGATTCTGGAATAATTATTCTTGTATTTCTCAGGAAAACATCTTCAACCAAGGAGATCTCATCTTAAATAGTGTTGAATTTGATGAGTCGGTTGGGCCAATTTCCGAAAACAAATGCAGTGTTTATCTTCTTTTAACTGTTTATCTTTTCTTGTTTCATGTCCAACGTCTTCCAGAGTCAAAGCTCATGGAAGGTAACACTTAGTTAAATCCAAAAGTGGCTTCTCTTCTAGACTGCTAGACTTTTTGGTACCAGCAGTACAAAGTCGAGATAGTGGATCGGCTAAATTGGATGGACCTGGACGATATTTTACCTCAAATGCAGATTGCAGCCTTTAAACCACTCGTTCGTTTCGAGATCTGGAAGAGGACCGAATATAAATTGTAATGGGCGACAGCCCATACACTACTCAAAGCCTCTTTCTCAGTCTGAGAAAACCTCTTTTCAATAGCTGTTAAACTTCGACTGGCAAAGCGAATAATCCTCGGATCTTCCACAGATCGTTGAATTAGCTCTGCTCCCAACGCACTGGGCAATCACCGGCAATCATTCCAGCATCGGCAATCATCTCAATGGGATCCTTTGGAGAGTAATATCGAAGTGCGACAGCGTTTGTAACTTCCTGTTTTAACGTTTGAAAAGCAGTATTCTCGGCAACGTCTCATTTCCATTTTACATAATTTTACATAAGTTCGCGAAGAGGTTCTGATACCAGTGATAGATTTGGTATGAAACGACCAACAAAATTAACCAATCCCAGAAAGCTGCGGACCTCGCCCTTATTACTAGGAGCTCGGAATTTCAGGACGTCTTTGATTTTACTTTCGAATAACTTTAGTCCATTTGCTGTGATGTGGTGTCCTAGGAAATCTAATTTTTCAACTCCAAATATGCACTTCTTATCATTAAGTGTAAACCCTGTTTCATTCAACTTATCCAAAACTACTTTAAGTCGAGCGTCATGTTCCTGCTTAGCAGTGGATGATCTAGGAATTTTCTCAGGGGGAGGGGGCGTAACTCTGTACCAGGTGCTTCCTCCACTCCTACCCATCCCCCCACTCCTTAGCTGAGTTTAGCCGCTCAACGGTCCTCTTTAAATGGTTTTAACAAAAGCAAACTCAATTTGTATTTAATGTAATTTTTTTCTAGTTTACAATGAAGCAATCGTTCATTACTTAAATTAAATAGTTTTTTGTTATCACTTCCTATTCAACAAAATACGTGACTTAATTAAAAAAAACACAAAACTTTAATACCCTACTTTCCTGCTGAAAACCATTCTTTATATAAACTTTTTGAATTTATTGAGTTCTGCTACCCTTTAAATAATTCCTTCTACTTAAGAGACACCCTGTATATGGGTTTAGACATGTAAAAAAACTAAATTGCTAACACGGGTTACAAAAAGAAAAAGCCAAAAAAATCCAAATTTATCTGTTTTATTTTTTTATGTATTATTACTAAAGAGTGCATCAAAGCGAAAAACGTATTTTTTAAGAAATTAAAGAACGTAAAATTAAGCGTCGAATGAGTACCTAAACTTAATAATTTGATTAATTGATATGGTCGATGACCACAGTCAATGACCGCTAATTTTTACCGACATTGTCAAAATATGAAAAAGATTAGTATAAATGGCCCTGCAGTTTGGAAATTAGTTCTCTAAGAAAAAAAACTCAAAATAATTTCCGATTTCGATCATAATCAGATTCCGATCAAATCGGAGACCAAATAATTAACACCTTCCTTCATGAAAACGTTTCCAACACCAGCTATTTTAAGAAAAAAAAAAGAGAAATATACAAATTATTATCGTGACCTGGTTCATGAATCGCATGGATTCTTCAAGAAGACTATAAACGGATGAATGAAAGATATTTTTTTGATTTATCACTTTGCCTAATAAAGTCCATTAAAGAAGTTGGAGGTTGCAATGCGTCCAGATCTATTGGAACTGAATAAAAAGTCTCTTGAGAAAACCCGCATTTTCTTGTGCTCGAATAAAAGGTTGTTCGAAAGAATAAATAAAGTTCACTTTGTTTTTTAATAAATTTTCCTCCATCATGTATTTCACCTGCGAGAGTCAGTTCGCATCTCATGGCGGCCCAAAACTTCCATCCTCTTTTCTTTAAATAGGTCTTTTTTGTCACTTTTCCCCACCATCGAAGGTAGGGCGCATCCCCTGGCAGATTTCGCTAGTGCTAGTCACGATTATAATTTATTTTTTTATTACATTAGAAAATTCGTGAATGATAATGAATTTTCCGTGTATTTCTCTTTCCTTTAAACAGGTGTTTTTGTCTCTTTTTTCGGATTTTTTTTCCACCATCTAAGGTAGGACTTGCCGCCTGGCAGATTTCGCTAGTGCTGGTCACGATAATATTTTTTTTTTTTACATTGCTTTGGGAAATTCTTGTATGAGGATGAATTTTACCTACATTTCTCTTTTCTTTAAATAGGTATTTTTGTCAATGTTTTCACCATTGACAAGCGGCACGAACTCGCATCGTTCACATTCAAAACCAGTAAACCTATATAAATCAATTTTCAATTTCAAAGTGTATTCAATATTTTATAATCATACAATTACAAAATTCAAATATTTTAAATTAGATCATATGTATGTTACACATCACCAGTGTTGCCCAGTCAGTGTTGTCTTTATGCTACATATAGTTGCTTAGCAACTGTGTTAGGGTGGTAACAAACAAACCTTTAAAGCTACACAGCTAGAGATGGTATATCACCTTAATTCCCAAGCCTGATTAGAAATATTTTTTAATTCAATTTATCCATGAAATATTGTTTGTATAATGGTTTCTAAAACAATACAATTCTTTGTTTTAAATATGTCCTTTTTTATAATTTGTACTAATAGTGAATTAAATGATTTGCTTGTTTGGAATAAAACAATCTGCTCTACTAATGAATATTTTGATGTCAACACCTTCACTTGTGTTCTTTGTGACCCAAACAAATTTTTGGTCCCTTCTGTTGATAGTAAGTTTTCAATTTGTATCCCTAAGTTGATTTCTTGATACACTGATTTGTTTTAATCAGTTCTTAAGACTATATTTTAATATTTGAACATTATTATTAATTAAAAAAAAATATTCACTACTTTGATATTGTGGTAGTATACCTGTATTTTTAAGTAAGTTATGAATATATTATTGTATCTATAATTTTTTAAAAGTTATTATCTTTCAAAATATTTTTATAATTGTTTAATAATCTTTGTTTGTTTAATTAATTAGAGATGTCCTGCACTTGTAATAATAGGAGTGTCATTACTGCATGGACAAAACATGGCATGCCTTTATGTAGACCTTGCAAGTTATACCAAATACCCACAGCTGACAAGAGAAATTGTATTCATTGTATAAATAACACCACTTATATTAATGCAACATGTTTTTCATGTGAAGAAAACAGTATAATTGGTAAGTTTTGAAACCATTTTCACATTATATTTGTTGAAGAATTGCCTATGTGTAATTAACTTAATGGAAAATTGAACAAAAACAACTTATACGGATTTAATTAGGATTTGTTAAAAACAAAAAAAAAAAAAACACGTTTTTGGCTTAGTTTTTAATGATGAATAGTCTTGGTCTATGACAATATTTACTGTGACAATTTTTATATTATTTATTACACAGTGTAATTTTTAATTGGCTTTTATAATTATTGATTAAGCTTCTTAGTGTTGATGAGCATTTTTAGGAATATTTTTAATAGAGCATTTTATGTGTTGATTATGTCCATATCTCTCTCTGATTACATTATGGAGAGGTAGCCTTCCAGTCTATTTATGCCTTTGTAAACAATTTCAACATACTTATAAAAATTATAATTATTTATATTTAGTAAATTATTATTGTTACTTTTAAGTAAATGTTGGAAAATTAAGTAAATGAATGATAATATTTATTTACTAAAATTAGTATATTTAATTAACCATTATTTTCTTTTAGTGGAAAGATCAGCCAATGGTTCTCTCCTGAACAAATTGACCTGTGTTCGATGTATATCAGGTATGATACCTGATAAAAGAAAAGAGAAATGCATAATGTGCCCAATAACTATGCTCAATTGTACATGTTCAACAGAAACACATGACTATGTGCCTGGTCTTGGATGCTACAAAAAAGATATTGTTTCATCCTTTATCAAAATTAATGACATTTATGAAATCTCCTTTAACTTTGGGAACATTTTTTCAAAATTGTTGTATGACAAACTATTATATGCGGTTTATAAATGCAAGGTAATTATACATTTTTAGTCGTAATATAATAGTAATCGACCAATATAAACTACAGAAAAAATTACCAGAATAAATTATTGCTTCTTCATAACTAACTATGTCCTAACTTAATGATTTACTTATTACAGTCTGTTCTATGATGTTATCATTTGGTTCATATATTATTATTATTATTGGTTCATATTACTTTAAAAGGTTTAATTTTTTTAAGAATAATTATGGAAGCTTATTTTGGTTCACTAAACAAATTATTATTATTTTTAAATGTTTATAACGTAAAAGTTTTGTAATTTGTTTATTAATGCCATGTTTACGTAATGTAAATACATACATAATCTTTAAACTATTTTAAAGTAGTGTAATATAAATATTAAAAATATAAACAATTTATGTTTTACTTTAGATGAATGACTCTATCAATTGCCAGTTTGTGAGTAATATGTGTGTGATTAATCTTTATCAAGATTATCTTGGAGGGCCTTGTAAATTGTTTAAAGAAATTAAAAAACTCAGTAGTCCTGGATTACCTTGGATTTATTACCCAGAAGGTGATGCCTGGAATGTTTTATCTAAGAAAACAATAAATAAACGATTCACTATGGATTACTCTTCAGAGGTCAGCTAAATTATTTAAAAAAAATTCATTTAATGATTGAACAATTTTTTTTTCACCAATTTAATTATAAAATAATAGAATACATATCTCATAAGTTTTAAATACCAACTCATTGTAGTATCTCCTTAAGTATTTAATTGAAAACTGTTGTTTTAAAATAATTTATTACATTTATCTTCAACTGTTCTTTACAAGCGAAGGTCACATTTCTTAAATTAAATGATTTTTTTTAATGTGTAAGAAGTAGACTGTATATTTTATTCTTTAATTATAGAAAACTACCCTTCATATCAATCTTAAGTTTATTATATCATTTTGAAAAGCATTCAGTACTTTGCTCCATATTCATCTGAAAAAATCCATATACTTATGCATACAATAATACATAACACATTTAATATTCATAATTTTCACTAAAATTTCACACAATCTACATACCTATTCTAATCTATATTCATTCATTTGGACAAGCATTTTTCTTTTAGTATTTTCCTCTTTCCAATCGTAGATTGTACTGTTATTTAAGATCTATCTGTAGGTTAAAATGCAGAAACTAATAAAGAAAGGGTAGTATAAAATTGTTTACATTGATAATTGACTCTTTATTTATTAATTATGATGATAATTATTTATAGTACTACCCACTGTTGAAAGGGAGAGAGGACCTTTTCCATCCGTACCAGATGAAAACTCTGGCTTTAAATGTGTATTATTATCCAATCCAAACCCCAACCATTACTGTAATTCCCACCCCCCAAAAAAAAAAAGAAAAAAAAAAAGACAAATCATTCTAAGTAGTTCAAGATTCGCTTCAGTCTGTCCTTGAGTATAATTGAAAGGCTACCGTATACCACACAGACATAGTTGAAGTAGGGCAAATCAATGAGGGTACGGGGAGCTTGCAGGCAAGATGATGTCGGGAAACGATGAAATAACTTAAGTGTACCTCTAATTCAGGAGATATGGGGAATATGAGGTGTCCAGTAGATGTTTTCATCAGTAGTAATCACAAATTTTTTTACAGAGGAGCTGAAGGTGATAGTGGTGCAAGAGAGAAGACAGCGATGGAAGAGAAAAGACCATGTAAATAGAGAAGGAATGGGACGAGAGATGGCAGGAGATGCCATGGATGTGGAAAGTTAGGGCACCAATCTCACGATTTGAAGATATGCATGATAGGCTAAGTGGGGCCACTATCTTCAGTATCCTGGATTTGGAGACAGGATAGAAAAAAATAAGGATGCACCCTAAGGACCAACATAATACAGCGTTTTCATTCAAAAAGGGGCATTACGAGTTTATGCGGATGCCATATAAGTTGAAGAAAGCTTCTATAACATTCCAGAGGTTATGATGGATGAATTCCTGAGAGGGCTGGATGAAGCATTTGGTCAGGTATACATGGATGACCTCTTGATCTTCAGCAGGGATGAAAGGGAACATATTGATCACTTGCGTCGTGTGTTTGAAAGGCTGAGGCAGTCTGGGTTAAAATTATCATCCGAAAAATCAAATTTGGGGCAGGAACAAATAACCTTTTTGGGTCATTCGATATCGAAGGAAGGGATTAGGCCCGATAATCAAAAGGTGGGGCTATTCAGAACATGGCAATGCCAAGACACGTCAAAGGGATTAGTAGGCTATTGGGGACGTTAAATTATTATCGGAGGTATGTCCCAGAGATGGCGGAATATCTGGCACCACTCAACAATCTGCTGAAGAAATGCAGGAAAATAGTAATAACACCAGTGACAGAAGACAATGTCAGGAAATGTATGACACGGTTTCAGGACAAGGCAGTATTAGCTTTTCCCGGCTTTGAGAAGACATTTATCATCACTACGGACGCAAATGAATACACAATAGGGGCGAGATGTGGTCTTCTAGACCACATCCCAATTCCTAATTTAAGTACACTGGGGTAGGGTCATAAGTCCTACGCTCGGTCGGTGTGAGTTGCCACCAGTAGGCTAACGGGCCTCACAAACTCGGGGAAGGGGTTTCGGGCAGCGTGGCTTGCTTTCCCTGGTGGACGGGCTCAAATCGGGGTGTCTTACGCTCCTATAAACGGAATAAACAGTTCAGTCCACAGTATTATTTCTCCATGAATAAATTAAGCTCTTGGCCTTAAGAATAAAAACAATTTTTCACAGGCACATTATCAGCACATCCTATAGATATAGAAATAGCCTTAAAAGGACCCTTTTCTCTAAACTAAAAGATAGGACTAGCCCGGGACAGGTTATCAAATGTAATTTATGAAATTAAATGCTACGATTGTGGCGGGAAGTACATCGGACAAACATCGCAGTAGTTATATAGGAGACTTTATGCTCATAAATACAGCGTAGACAATGAAAAGAAGTAGATGGTTTTAGCCTGCCATGCTGTTAGAAAGGGGCACACATTTGGTTTTGATAAGGTGAAAATCCTAGATAGCGAACATAATCAACAAAAAAGATTGATTCCCGAAATGATGTAAATTGGAATGACAATAAACACGCGTATTTAGCTAAGGGTAATATACGCCTATAATAATATATTGGAATCAATATGAATTGGCCGGAGCGTTGAGTATGTTTATGTGTGGGTATGTGTATGCACATGAAAGTTTTATATATATTATATATATATATATATACGTGTGTGTGTGTGTGTGTATAAATGTTAGTGGTAGTAACAGACAATGGACAGAAGTAGGAACCATATTAATTTGATTTATTATTATATTATTGTTTGTAATGACTGGGTTTTTATACTTTATTTTATTGTAAACTGATTTAAACTTTAGCGTTGGAGGTTAGTAGAAAATACGTGTAAGATTGTTTCAATTCATTACTTTAGCTATTTTAATGTTTCATTTTGACAATTTTAATTACAACCCAACAGAGATTGTTATGTAGACTGTTATTGTTGGTATTAGTATTATTCTTGCATCGGGGTGCGCGTTGGGCCCCAAGTAGCTTGATGTCCTTGTGGCGATACCGTGCGTGCTGCTCGGCTTGGGCTATCGATGCTCAATTAAAACTAAGAAAAATTGTGAATTATTGTAGAAATGTATGAAAAATGTATATGTATGTATGAATATATATGTATATATATATATATATATATATATATATATATATATATATATATATATATATATATATAATAGTTATAAATTAGTCAGTTATAAACTACATATGTATAATTATAAACTATACATTTTTAACATTTGTGTCCCCTGACATATTGGTCATGGAAAACTTTCATTAAATAGGAAAAAGTCAGGAAATTTTACTCAAAAAGTTTGGTAGCCACCCTAGGTTATGGTTTTTGTTAATAGTGTGGAATAAGCCTTTTTTTTCCAAGAAGTTGGAAAAACAGCATTATGGAGGACAAAATTATAGATGAATAGAAGGAATGGAAGAATTTTAGGGAGGCATTATTTTAACAATTTGATGGGTATTTCACCAAATCCAATAAAGTTGGAATGATATTTCATTATAGAGGGAATAAGGTCAATGAGAGAGATGTAAAAGAAATAAAAATTATCACTGTTGAATGAAGGCGATAAGGAAGATTTTCTATCTGGGATGCTGGATAGTATTCTGGAAATAGCTTTCTTTTGTACTCAGTCATGATATAGTTACGGATATTCTACAAAGAAGTATTTAAAAGGAAAGTCTTTCCAGTGTTTGTTTCTGGTTAAGTAGTGTACAATACTGGGGTAGGGGTACCGGAAGCACTTTTCTTCAATTAAAGAATATCTTTTAAAGATATTGTATGAGTTGATATTTAAACGTTATAGATGATTTACACAGTTAGTCATTATTTTATTTCATTAAACAGTTATTCGTGATGTAGCAATAGTTGTTAGTAATTAAATATAATTATGTATTTGAAATATAAAAGGGGTTTAGTCTAATGCCGTGAATGAGATTAAAATTTTATCTCCCATATATCACTGCTGGCCACTTCCTTAAGTAGCACTCTCTTCTAGGTCAGTGATGCTGTTTCCTCCAGACAGGTATAGCAGAGGGGCTGTTAATAGTGATCACTCTGGGACCAGGAATGAAGCGCCTCTCCAGCTACGTACAGGTGAGTGAGATAGAGTGGTGGTGCTTACTGGTTACCTGAGGTTAATCCATACTGGAGTTATCGTTTCTCTGATGATATGTGGCTGTCGTTGGTGAGGAGGGGTTAAACAATGAGACCAGGGGCTTCAGAATAATAATAGGCAAAATAGAAAAAATAAAATATATATTATAAATTTTTAGAATGATGTAAATCTTGCATGGAGCAATCACCTTTCTTTTTCTTGCCAGTAGAGGTCATCTCGTGTAGTTTAGTAAACCAACACCCATATATCGCGGTCTGATCTCATTGAATTTGGTTAACCGAAACACAAATTAAATGTATCATTTTAAGTTTTAAATTGAAGGATATCTTGTATTATTTAGTAAATGAAAAATATTATGAATAACATTTATTAGAGATTTTGGATTTTTTAGAACTAACCAATCTCTCATAATTACTCAATTGTTCTGTATTTGCTAAGTAAGTGCATTTTATACTTAATGCCAGCCAAAATGCAAGCACCTACCACTAATATGGGAAACAGATGCTGTCCAGGCTGCTATCTGTATTAAGAATATAGAATATAAACTATACATAATATTTATTTTCCTAATTTTCATCATATATCATAAGTATTCAAATGGGCAGGTCCCTGGCGTAGTATTAACAACCAATCATGTGTTGTTATGTTACTCACTTATCCGGCGCTACAGTCCAGTATGAACCTTGGCCTCCCTCACAATCTGTCTCCAACCGTTTCTATCCATCACCTTCCTCCTCCACGCAGTCACTCCAAACACAGCCAAGGCCCACTCTACATCCTTCAGCCAGCTTGTTCTGGAGCACCCCCTTCTGCTTTTACCTTGGAAATCCTCCTTCATTATGTTTTTTGTCAACTGCCCTTCAGGCAACCTTTCAATATGACCAAGCCTTCTTGA